ACTAATACCAAAGAATTCTTTCATTTGAGATTTTCTTCTCAATTGAGCTAGAGTTTGCATGTCCAAATAAAGATGCATTTATTTATTAGACAGTGTCTCAAATGCCTTTTCTTAAAAATCTAATTTTTCTTTACTTTTATCAAATAATTGCCTATATAAATTTTTATTTAATATTAGAGCAGTGCTATGTCTGATAGTCTGAAACATACTGCTTTTAGCCCTGAGCCTCTGGTAAGCAACTTTTAATCGACAGGGTTTAGCCATATTTTTCACCTACTCATCCTACACAATCATTATTTTTAACTAGTTAATCATATTTGCTGGGTTAGGTTTGGAACAGGGATAACATTTAATACAAGTCACCTGTAAAATCTGCATTTTAGAAAATTGGTACTACCATATAATTTATAACTTGATTTCTTTAAGTAGCGGAGTTATTTTTACATTTATTTTATATAAAGAAATCTAAAAATCCATGATCCCCTGAAACATTTTAAGTACCAATTCTGTTTAGAGAAGTGTCCAAGAAGTAAATTCACAAGATTAATCGAAGACACTTATCACTAAATAACAGAGACAGCCCAGTCAATGCCTCATCAGTGTCTCTAACAGCAGCCTACAAAACAACAGAGCCATTGTCTGCTGGTACATAATGAAATTGACTCGTTTCAAATTAGAAATACTGCAAGAGCAACAGGCCAGTGGCTGAGAGAGATGGCAGAGAATGTTTAAATATATGGTTATCTTGTGTATATTTTCCTCTTCTAGTCTGTTCAAGTATTAAAACATTCATCATTGTTGGAACGTAAATAAAGGATACTGGTTCATAAACCCTAAAAATGGGTTAACTAGATACTACGTGCCTCTTGAAATACACAGCACCACATATTAATTATTTTGGCAAAAAATCTTTAACCTAAATTGTATCAAGCCCTTGGAACAGTGGTTCTCAAATTTGTTATGGTTTCAACTGGACAACTCTAGAAATATCTCTTTGGTAGAGATTAACCAGCATGTGTAATCTGAACTAGAGTAATGTTTTCATTTATATCTTAAGCAATGTATGTACTTATAAATGATTTACTACAGCCATGCCACCCTGAATGTGCCCGATCTTGTCTGATCTCAGAAGCTAGGCAGGGTCGGGCCTGGTTAGTACTTGGATGGGAGACCACCTAGGAAGACCAGGTGCTGTAGGCACTAAAAAAAAAGTTTTAATAAATTAGTATATCAATTTTAAGCCTTTCAGGGAAAAGTCTGTGAACAAAGGAGCCTGGGTTAAGAGCATTACTTTTAACTCAGATAAATAAACTTTATGGTAGGAGGGAATGAGAACTTACATATCTCATAATAAAGGTTTAAATGAATGCAAGGAGGGGACCAGGATAAACTGGTGCTTCTTTGACTATTATGTTTGCTCCCACTGTATCATGAGCAATAAATAACTCAACTCCCTCTTCCCCCAAAACCTCACTATGCCTTCTATTGTTCCCTTTTGCATGGTTTGATATTACCCAGCTTGGGATTCCTTCTTAGATGTGACCTAAGCTCACCACTCAGTTTGGGGAAAACTTACACTGGTCACTCGACGGTAGATCTGCGCAGCATTTTGACACTCTGAGTAAGGGTATTCAGATGTGGCCATCTCAAGCATACACATCCCAAAAGCATAAACGTCAACAGATTCATCGTATTTCTCCTCATACATTTCAGGGGCCATGAACTCTGGGGTACCTTAAATTAAAAGAATGATTCAGACTCAATGCCAGTTGAAGTTACAAGGGGAAGAAGCAGAGGGCTGACCTATAGTGGAGAGAGGAAAGGAGAAAGGAGAGGGGAAGGAGAGAGGTAAGAGTGGGGAGAAGAGGAACAAAATCATCTTAATCAGTCTGTTCCATTAAATATCTTACAGATCTTCCACTACAAGGCATTTATAAAAGACACTGGAACAGGGTCAAGTGTCTTTATTTACTATTTCAAATCAATTACTGTTATACAATGTCAAAATAGAGCCTTGGATAAAAGATAAAATGATATAACTCATACTGAAAACAAATGGAAGGAAAAGGTAAGAAACTAGGAAGGAATAAAGTAGACATAACGGCATCTATCTGTAAAACAAGATGATGGATTTAAAAAGATCAAAATACTTGTCTGCCCCCTACTGTATGGTAATTGTAAGGTTAACATTTAGCAATTTCCAGAGACATTTTCAGCTATGACAACTGTGGGGAGGTGGATAGGGGATGTGCTACTGGCATATAGTGAACAGAGGCTAGGGATGCTACTAAATAATCTTACAATACATAAGACAGCCCTTATAACAAAGAGTTGTCTAATCCCAAATGCCAATAGAACTGAAGTTGAAAATTTCTTTTAGACATATCATGTCTTCTGAAGAGTAAGAAAAAGTTGATAAAACCAAACTTTCAAAATGAACTCATATTTTCACATTTTAAAATAAAGTTTTAATAGATATTTTTGAATATACACATATACCCAATAGACTTTTTTAGAAAACTAAACTACAGATAAATTGTTTCTTTTATGTGGAAACAACACATTATATAAATAAGTATATAATACTAAATTACCTACCAACAGAATGACCCAATAAAATTGATAGTTATGTAAGGTTTTAAGAGAGTTCACTTTACTTCTCTTTACAAAAACATTGATAGTCTTGAAGATGATTCTAGAAACATAAGTATAGAGAACTCCACATCTCATAAGCAGAAGTGATTGCTTCCTAGTTTCAAGTTATGAATTTATGAAGGTTTATTTCACGTAATAAAAGCTCTGACAGGGTTGGGTTTCTAAATAAAAGGAATGTCAGAAAGCCAGTTAGGCTGCAAGGTACACTTGAAACATACCTATCACACTCTTGGCAAAAGAAGCCCGCTTCAGGGTTGCCAGACCTAAGTCTCCAATCTTGACTGAGCCTGTAGGGCCAGTGATAAAGATGTTGTCACACTTAAGATCTCGGTGAATAATAGGTGGAGTTCGAGTATGAAGAAATTGAAGTCCTTTAAGGATCTGACGGCACCAGCTTCTTAAAACTTTGATCTTCATCACCTTAAACCTTTTCAGGTACCTAGAAAAGGCAAGGAATACCAAACAAGTTATCAATGATATGAGTTTACTGCTTTGAAGAATTCCATTAAATTTTAGCATTATCTGAGATGGGAATATCAAATTTAGAATATTAAGATTCAGTAACTTTAAAGGTTTGTGATACTTTTAGTAAGGTTAAAGGGGATGGGATAAGTGCTTGTTAAGCAAACTCTGATAACAAAGCACAAAAAATGAAGTCCTTAAAATTAAATCACTAGTAAAACAATTTAAAAGTTAACAGGTAGGTAGAGTTCAATTTCTGGTAAATGATGGAGCAATTCTTACTGGACACAGAAATCATTATAAACTCTAGTAAAAATATATACAAAACAATTACTTGAATGCTCTGGAGAGCAATCAAAATCAGGCATCAATTGGAAGGGAGTTCCCAAGAGGAAAAAGGGAAAAAGTACTGCTTTGAGCTTCCTACTTTCTGTACCTTTTCAGCTGAGGGAAGGCTCCTGACTGTGCAGGTCAGCTCAAACCTGAATAGAAACCTATGTAGCCTTACTAGCTGAGAAAAGTGAAGACAGAGTTCAAGATGACCACAGCATCTATAACAGTGCTGTCCAACAGAACTTTCTGCAATGATAGTCTACCCAATAAAGTATCCGCTAGACAAATGTGAATTTTTATATTTAAATGTAGACTAACTATAATAAACAATTCTGTTTCCCAGTTGTACCAGCCACATTTCAAGTGCTCAACAGCTGTGTGTCGCAGGTGGCTACCATCGTGGACAGTACAGATTACAGAACATTTCCATCACCATGGAAAGTCCTACTAAACAACAGGTATCCAGAAAGTAAAGAGGGAAATCCCAGAAAGGAGATGTAGAACCGGAGCCTCATATTCTGCATATCCACTCTGCAAAACCTTGGGTTGACCTCAGAAATATGTGTATGTGGGGCAGATTCCAAACAGCTCAGCTAATGCTGAAAGAATGAAACAGATTTCTGCTGATGTTATCCACTATAAGAAAGATAAAGTTTTGAGACTGAGTTCAGATGCATATTGAATTTGAAAATAGGAAAAAAAATGAAGAGTACTAAAAATGGTAAATATAAAAGATTATGTTTTCTTCTGTTTTAAAAATACATATGACTAGTTAAAGTGAAATTTATAACACTGTATTACAGGGTCTACAGAATATGTAAATGTAGCATATATGAAAATTATAGCACAGAGAATAAGTATCAGGGATAAATGAAACTATATTTGTGCAAGTTTCCTTTATTTTACATGAAATTGTACAGTATCAGCTCAAAGCATATTTTGAAAAGTTAAAGATCATAAATGCAATCTCTAGAAATGCTTTAAGTACACACACACACACACACACACACACACACACACACACACACAAAGTGTTTAACTAATACAAAAACTAAAATGAAATTCTACTTCATTCCATAAAGAACACACTAATGTTGAAAGTTGCTTTTATGATTTTAAAAAATATCAAAACATAGTCACCTCTGAAGGGTGAGGAAAGGGCTGGCTAGGAAGAAGAATAAGGGCATTTAATGAGATGATGGAAATGTTCTATATCTTAATAGTTTTGATTACATGAGTAAATAACTTAATCAAAACTCATCCAATGACACAATGATGGTTTACGCTTTTCACTGTATGTAAATTTTACCATAAGGAAAAATAAAGCATACAAATATTGGAACTTTAATGAAATGCGTACCAAAGTGTTTACAGGTGAAGTATACTAATATCTGCAATTTATTGTGAGATGAATAAAATTAAAATAGATTGATAGGAGAATGATTAGATGGACATATGATATGGTAAAGCGAATGCGGCAAAAGTTAATAATTAGAAAAATCTAGGCAATGAGTATGTGTGTTCACTGTATAATTCTTACAACTTTTCTATATAACTGAAATAAAAAAATTTTGGGGAAAAGTTGAGGCTGGCTTGGATCTCTTTCACATCTATAAAATAATAAAGTATATAAAATTTAATAGTTTACTGTACATTAACCTTTATCTTACAACCTTACCAAAATTATTTAGAATTACTGCAATTACATAATCTGCAAAGGTAGGCAGTTTCGTTTCTTCCTTCCTAATTTTTATGCCTTTTACTAGTTTCTGTTTTTATGCCTTATTGCAACGGGTGGGCCTTCTAGAACAATACCTGAAAACAGGCATCCTTGCTTTGTTCCTTATCTCAGGGAGAAATGGTTTAGGTATGACTTTGGCTATAGGTTTTTCCATGGATGCTCTTTATCAGTTTGAGGAGGTTCCCTACTATTCCTTGTTTGCTAAGAGTTTTCAGCCATGACTAGGTGTTGAACTGTCAAATACTTTTTCCACATATATTGAAATAATCATATGATTGTTCTCCTTTATTCTGTTAATGTGTTGAATAACACTGGTTCATTCAATGCTAAACTTTGCAATCTTGAGATAAACTCTATTTAGTACTGATGCATTGTGATTTTTGTATATATATTCATGATAAACACTGCTCTACAAATTTCTTTTGTTATAATATCTTAGGTTTTCATATTAATGTTATCCTGGCTTCATAAAATGAATTGGACACTGGTTCTTCATCTCTATTTTTTGAGAAAATTCAATACACTGGTTCCCCACCTCCATTTTTTTTATTATGATAAAATATACCTAACATAAAATTTTTATCATTTTTAAGTGTATTAGTACATTCATATTATTGTACAATCATCACCACTGTCATCTCCAGAGCTCTTTTCAACTTACAAAATTGAAACTATATACCCATTAAACAATAACTCCCCATTCCCCTCTACAGTAGGGCCCTGTCTCTATAATTTTGACTATTCTAGGTACCTCATATAAGTGGAATGATACAGTATTTGTCTTTTTGTGACTGGTTTATTTCACTTAGCATAATGTCCTCAAATTTCATTCATGTTATAGCATGTGTCAGAAATTCCTTCCCTTTTAAGACTGAAAAATATTCCCTTGTACATATATAGCACATTTTGCTTCCATTGATGGATACTTGGGTTGCTTTTACCTTTTAGCTATTGTGAATAATGCTGCTATGAACATGTATATATCAATCTCTCTTCGAGACCTTTTTCAATTCTTTTGGGTATATATATATATATACCAATGGAATTGTCAGATCATACAGTAATTCTATTAATTTTTAAAACTGAAGTAAAATGGATATATAACATTATATTAGTTTCAAGTATACAAATAATGATTCAAAATTTGTATATATTGCAAAATAATCACTACGGTAAGTCTAGTCCATCACCACAGAGTTACAAATTATTTTTGTGTGATGAAAACTTTATAGATCTACTCTCTTAGCAACTTTAATAAACAATACAGTATTATTAACTACAGTCAACAAGCTGTACATTAAAGTCCCAGGACCTATTTATTTTATAAATGGAAGTTTGTACCTCTGAACCAGTCATCTCCCCCACTACTACCCCCACCTGGGAACCAACAATCTGCTTTCTGTATCTATGAGTTGGTTGTTGGGTTTTTTTTTTTTTTAAGAGTCCACATATAAGTGATTTCATACAGTATTTGTCTTTGTCTGTCTTATTCTACTTAGCCCTCAAGGTTCATCTATTTTGTCGCAAGCAAATGGCAAATTTCCTTCTTTCTTATGGCTGAATAGTATTCATGTACACGCACACAATCTTCGTTAGCCATTCATCCACTGATGAACACTTAGGCTGTGTCCATGACTTGACTACTGTAAATAATGCTGCATTAAACATGGGGGTACACATATCTTTCCAAGTTAGTGTTTTCATTTCCTTTAGATAAATACCCAGAGGTGGATCGTATGGTGGTTTTATATATATATAACAAACATTTAATAAAACATTTAATCTGGCATATATTTCAGACATTTTATAAAAAACATATAAAAAACATTTAATAAAAAAACATATAAAAAACATTTAATAAAACATTTAATCTGGCATATATTTCAGACAATGCTAATAACCTAAGTCACTTCCACTTCTGAGAAAAGGCATCGAGTTTTCTTTTTACTGATGAAGATAGTGACCCCAGGGTCATACAGCTATTACAAGATAGAGTTGGCAACTGAATTCTTAAGTATGGTCTACCAGCTATTGCCTGCCTCCATACTCTATCTCTAATCTGTTCTGAACACCACTATCAGATAAAGAAATTCTAACACAGTCCCTGGCCCACAGTAGGTATTCAATTGTTTTCCGGATTATTCAATGTATTGTATCACTGCTGGATTATAATCTTTCCAATGGTTCCCTACCATCCTTAAAGCAGAGACTAATCTTTTGCCCTACATTCAAAACACTCTACATTTTATTTCTAACATATATGGAGACTTTTTAGTCATTATTCCTCTTTATAAACTTTCTGTTTTTAACCAAAATGGTTTACCTACAGCTAACCTTTTGTTCTCTATTTTTATACAATTCCCATAGCACCTCTCCACTTACAGAAAAACTATCAATGCTTTAAAGCCTAATTTAAAGCCTATTACTTTGATAAAGACCTTCAAGATTACTCTAGCCAGTAGGAAGGAAGTGCTATTGTCTTCTCAACTGCTATTAAATAAAAATTACAACAACTATAATTCAGCCATAAAAAAAGAATGAAATCTTCATTTGCAACAACATGAATGAACCCTGAGGACATTATGCTAAGTGAAATAAATTGAGAGAAAGAAACAAACAAAAAAAGCTCCCAGATATAGAGAACAGATTGGTGGTTACAAGAGGCAGAGGTGGGGGTGTACAAAATGGGTGAAGGAAGGAAGTCAAAGGTACAAACTTTCAGTTATAGAATAAATAAGTTATGGAGAAGTAATATACAACATGGTGACTACAGTTAATTACTTATTTGGAAGTTGCTAAGAGTGTTATTAAAAGTTCTCAAGATAAGAAAAAAATTCTGTCGCTATGTATGGTGACAGATGTTAACTGGACTTATTGTAGTGATCATTTTGCAATATATCCAAATATTTAATCATTATATTTTATACCTGAAACTAACATAATGTTGTATGTCAACTATGCCTCATTGAAAAAATTAAAAATCATTCTAAATTGTATTATTATTACTATTTTATTTAAAAAATAGGAATATTATCTAAAACCACCACAATCAAACAAGAAAAGTGACAATCAGGTATCATCAATGCAGAAAAGACATAATTAATAGATGGATAAATGATCTTCCTGATACAGCATTTTCGAGTCCTTCATTATGGCTCACTCATGTCCAATCACACTGAAGAAAAGCCTACTAGTTGAAAAGTCTTCTTATAACCATAGCTCCTAATCAGCTTTTCAGTGCTGAAATATTGATATAAAGTGACAATCAACTCATGATTTAAATGGGGGTAATTAGGTTACCTATCCCACAGAATTGAAGATGAAATGCTAAGAACAATGGATGCTGAATATAACAATGGCTGTCGAATATAACAGAGTGCATAAAATTTTAGTTCAACAAAGAATATCAATAAAGAGATAGAAATTATAAAAAGTAACCAAACAGAAATTTTAGAGCTAAAATATAATAACTGAAATGAAGATTCACTAAAGGGTTTTAACAGCAGATTTAAGTTAGATTTGAACATGCAGAAGATAGAAGCTAAAATCCTGAAAACGGAACAATTGAAATTATCCAGTCTAAGGAACAGAAATAAAAAAAGAATAAAGAAAAATCAACAGAGCCTAAGAGATACCACCAAGCTGGTCAACATACACAATATAAGAGTCCCACATAAGAGAGAAAAGCAGCAGAAAGAATATTTGATAAAATAATGGCCACAAACATTCCAAATTTGGTAAAAGACATAAATCTACAAATCTAGGATGCTCAACAAAATCCAAGGACAAACTGAAAGAGTTCCACAGTGAGACACATTACATTCAGATTCTGAAAGACAAAGACAAAGAAAGAATCTTTGAAATTATCATTAGAAGCAACTTGTCATGAGCAAGATACACTGTGTGAAAAAGGGATTAACTGCTTAATAAATACGGAGTGTTCTTTTGATGAAGAAAATGTTCAGGAACTTGACAGTTACAAACAATATGACTGTGCTAAACACCACTGAATTTAACACTTTAAAAAGATTAATTTTATGTTAGTGAATTTCGCCTCAATTAAAAAAACTAACTTTATTTCCATCATCTGAACCAAATTTTTTAACCCAATATTCCATCTTATTTTTCAGGTATGAGTGTTTCTTTATTTATACATATGTGGAACAAAGGAAACTCAAAAAGTATGTACTTTGGAACTAATTCCCATCATTTTCCGCTCATTTGCCTCTCTAAATGCTGCCAGTGTTCCTAATTGTTCTGTATCCTTCCAGGTATGAATATGGATTTGTTTTAAATCTATTTGCTTAGGACTATATACACATCCTCAATCTGAGCATTGTCTTTC